AGCCCATAAATGTTAGATATAGCCAAACTAGTAAAAATATCTTTTTACTAGAAAACATAAACAGTAGAAAGAAACCTCAGATCATCAGCAATTATTCTTTTTGCAGGAAGTACAGATGACCCTTGAGCAATACACACGTTTGAACTGTGCAGGTCCACATACTTATACATGGGGTTTTTTTGGCTTTTTGTTTTTGTTTTTTTTGTTAAACAAGTTGGGTTTATTACTCGATGCAGAGAGGGAGAACACATACCACAGTGAAACTTTGGGGTGTTTCTGCAAAGGGGTGTTAGGAAGAAACTATTTGGATTTGAGCTTTGATTGAGTGATTTGGGGGTGGTGAAAGAGGATTTGTCTCTAGATTGGAGCTGACAGAAGAGAGGGATAGTTCTGTGATTGGGTTCCTGGCACGTGGAAAGTGATTTGCTTGTGTCTGTGCTTAGACAGAATTAGGAAGTGGCCTTGTTTTATCTCATTTTATCATGGTCTCATGGTAACCTAGTTTGGGGCTGGTGTCCTGTGAGGGTGTTCATGTCCCACAGGGGAATAACATGGCCTGGATGTGATTGTCAGATCAGCTTGTTATATTGTGTCAGGAGCTGCTTGCTTGCTTTCTCAGGAGCAGCGAACCCAAGGCTTTCCCCTCTAAGAGGTGACTGGCACCTGCGGCAAGAACTGGCAGAAACAGGAAACAAAGCCCAGACAGCCAGCTAGGGCTTCAGGCCCTGCCCGCACAACCACCATCCTGCGGAACACGGGCTGTGTGGGCCAAGGCTTACAAGCTGACCCTCAACTCTGCTGGCCCCAAGAGTGAACATTTGCCCCTTTTTGTAGGAAGAGGGATTAGGAAGGGCAGCACCAGGGGAGGTATGGCCATTTGGCATAGGCTCCTCTCAGAGGGGCAGCATCCGGAGGGTGGCAGGCGCACCAGGACTCCGTCAGCCTGGCCTGATCCTCACCCTCTAGCAGGAGCATTGCGTCCAGTGATCGCTGTTGTCCTAGCTCTTGCCAAGGCTCAGCATCACTGAGATGAGGTTCCAAAGCAGATGCATGAAAGGGAAGAATGGGGGACCACTGGTGGCATCAGGAGATCTGACTCTGAGAGGCGTCTAAAGCTCTGCTTCTCCGACACTTGCGAGCGGACGTTGCTGTACGGTCAAAAGGCCCTCTGTACTGTGGTTACTAGGAATGGAAAGGGGGAGGGGAGGTCGTCAATGAGAAGTTAATGAGAAATTGGTTAACAGACACAAAGAATGATTATGTATTGTGATGATGAATAAGCTAACTATCCTGATTTGACAAGCACATATTGTACACAACTATTGATAGTCAACTTTGTACCCCACAAATATATATAACCAATTATGCTTCAATAAAAAAAAGCCCTTTGTATATATACAGATTATGCAGATTTTTTCCAATAAATATATTAGAAATTTTTTTGGAGATTTGTGACAATTTTTAGAAAATGTTTTATTTTTTATCTTTATTGTAAGAATATAGCATATAATACATACAAATACAAAGCATGTGTTAATATAGCATATAATACATACAAATACAAAGCATGTGTCAGTAAGGCTTCTGGGCAGCAGTAGACTATTAGTAGTTAAGTTTTGGGGGAGTCAAAAGTTATATATGGATTTTCAACTGGGTGGGGGGGACTGTCAGTGCCCCTTACTCCTGAGTTGTTCAAGGGTCAACTGTTCTTAGCTGTAGAATATCCTGCCAAAAATATATAGTATAATGACAGCAGATTACTATATATATCTAGTAACTTTCTTGTATCTTTTGTCATCTTCTCTGATAAATTTATACAGTGGTAAATGTTCATGCTAAATCCTACTTTTAAACTCTTTGTTCCTTTCTCTCCAGTGACAGCTGAAGTATTAGCTTTGGAGGTGTATACACCAAAAGAACTCTTCGTGGCAAATGGGACACAAGGGAAGCTGACATGCAAGTTCAAGTCTACTGACACGACTGGCGGGTTGACCTCAGTCTCCTGGAGCTTCCAGCCAGAGGGGACTGACACCACTGTGTCGGTAAGGATGCTTGACTGCTGTTGGCTAGTCCTCTGTCACAGGGTTCCTTACTGCTGTGGTACAATTAATGATCCATTCTTCTGATTGTTAATCTCCAAAATGAATACATTTGTTATCTGTTGCAGACTTCAAGGCCCTTCTCTTGCTTCAAACACTCCAGGAAAAAATAAGTTCAGCATCTCTTAAATGCAGCTTATTTCTTTGTCTTTGCATGTCATTTTCCCCATGCCATCCCCCCAATTCCTTTCTGCCATCAAATCCCATTTTGAAATTGATCTTCTCCACAGAGAAGCCCCTAATTAACTGTGCTGACTCTGATCATGATTTATTCTGCATCTTTTCAGCTTTTATTTGTCCCATTTTTATTTCTATTTCTTTTACATACTTCTACATTATATATATATATGTATGCTCCCTTCTCATTTAATTATGAGTTTCTTGATTTAGCTTACAGTCCATCTGATTCAACAATATTTATTGGCAGCTTACCATGCAGTGGGTATGTAGGGTCTTCAAAAATGTCTACCACACAATCTTTGCTTTCACCCAGGGAGTGATTAGGAGTCAGTCTGGTAGATAGATGACTTCAGAGTAATATGAAGGACAGAATAAAGTGCCTGAGGGTTAAAGAAAAGCTAGTTAGTAGCTGGCTGAGTGATGGTTATGCCGTGGGTGCTTATAAATGTGGACTGACTATCTTGATTCTTGTCTGTAAAATGGAGATCATAAAGTCTCTTACATAGGAGTATTAAGTGAGAAATTATACAAGATAAGTGCCCAGGATAGTGTCTAGTTCTTGAGGTACTAATATATACAATTAATTATATTATTCTTAGTCTCTTAGCCTGTTGAATGTCCTTTAAATATTGGTACATACTTTAGCAGTGTTATACCTTTTAGGTTGTCAGTACTTGGCAGGGACAGACTCTGTCATCTGTCTTTAACTAAGAATACCCAACTCTTCTTTTGAATGATGACAACTACATTTGCTGATCACCACCTAGATGCTAGGCTCATCATATGCCCATGCCATTTAATCTTCACACTGACCCAAGAGGCCTTATTCGCCCATGGCCACGCCACACAGGTCAGAAGTGTTCAAACTGTTTCGTTGAACTCCAACTAATATACTCTTTCCCTTAGCTATTATTTCTCTCTCAGAGAAGTTTGTTAATAATATTTACTGCTCAAAGGTTGAGATCCCTATACCGGCCAGCCACCAAAAAATTAAAAATTAAAAAAATAATAATAATACTTACTGCCTATAGGCTTTAGGGACTGACTAAGGCAGCAATGCTTCTCAATTAAAAAAAATTTTTTTGTGTGTGTGTGTGTCTTTTTCGTGACCAGTAAGGGGATCACAACCCTTGATGTGGTGTCGCCTGCACCGCGCTCAGCCAGTGAGCNTTTTTTTCCTAATCTCTGCCCCCTCCCATGAAATTTTAATGCCACAGATATACTGTATATCTGTGCTTTATATGTAAAAGAGTAAGATTTTCTGAAACCTTCCCATCCAAGAGCCTATATTTGCTCCCTTGGGGGAGATATTGCCCCTATTGAGAACACATGGTCCAGAGGTTTCTACAAGGAGCCCTCCCTTACAGGGCCGTACGGGTGAGAGTAGGACTCCCTACAATTGTCGTGGGGAAACAGATA